AGTCTTTTCTCTTTACATTCAGATTTTGAGAGAAAATAATGAACATAATTACAAATGAGAAATCTACAGTCCTGTTATTGCCTCCACATCAACAAACAAGGAAACTATTTCAAATAAACTATATACAGAGTAAGTACATACCCTGCACTTCATTGCTGGGTTCAGAGTTTCTTGAGAAAAAGGGACCCCTCCATGTTCATTAAAAGCTACTTCTGGGCCAGCCCACAGCCTAGTGGTTAAGGAAGCCAGACCCCACATGGTCGACCATGCTTCAAATTCAGGGCCTAGTGGCTTTAAAAACATACCAGTGCATGCATCTGCTTGCCCCAAATCCCAACAGGATAGAGAAATGAGGAAGGGTTGCCACATTATCACACCCCATCAGGAGGTTCTCTCTCTCTTTCTCTCTCTCTCTCTCACACACACACACAGGAATACATGTGCCCTCTGACAATTAAAAAAAAAAAGCTACTATCCCCCCTAAAAATTGACCTTAGAAGTTAGTTAAAGAGAGCTGTCAAATGAAATTCAAACTTTTATGAAGATCTTAAAAATTAAATATAAACCACAGAAAACACATATTACATTGAAACCTCATTCGGCCTAACTAGGTACTCATCTATCCAGCAGCAGCACATACCAGGCAACTGCAAAAAAGCAGTAAAACCCAAAGGGTGAATCTCAGTTTCACTTACAAACATAACCAAACCAACAACACATTATACTCTGGAATTGAAACACAGCAATTCAGGAGGGAACAAAGCTTCCTACTTGCTGATTCCATGTCTGCTTTTGTCGATGTTTCCAAGGACCTTCATATTGTTAGATGTGACCATCTCGTCAACACAGCTATAGGGGTACAAAGCCTAGGAGTTATCCTGAATTTCTCCCTTCCTCCCACCACCCTTATCCAATGCAACAGCAGGTCCTATCAATCTCTCCTCTAAAACATACGTCTGCTATTCTTCACTTTGCTTTAATTGCCAGAGAACATGTGCTCACCAGAGAGAACCAGAGGGAGGAAGAGAGAGAAAGCAGCCCCCAATGGGGTACGGTCATACTGGAAACTCTTCTCCATTTCTCCATTCTGTCAGGATTTTGGGTACTCTGAACCATGGGCCCAGTATGCCTTTCAAGTTGCCAGGGCCAGGATTTGAACCGCAGTCGACCACGTGGGATCCGGCTTCATTACCTACTGGGCCATCAGGCCAGCTGGCCTCAAAAACCCATGCATTGTTTGACCAGCAGGTGGCATGGTGGTTAACATGCTAGATTCCACATGGCCGAATAAACATCCCAGACCTAGTGGCTTGAAAAACAGCCAGGCACATGTGCGTGTGTGCCCAAAACCCCAAGAGAAGAAATGGAGGACAAGGGATTGCAGCCTGGTCTTCCCCCATAGAGTGATTTCTTACTTTTCCTCTCTGTCTCTCTCCAGTGAAGGCACACGACCTAGAGCAAACAGCAGCAATGAAAACATGAATACAGGCACCTTCCGTTCTGTCCATGTTTTCAAGTACCATCCTAGGCCAAGAGAGAAACATGCCTGGACAACTGCTTCCATCGCTTACCCTTGTGACCCCTCTACGACACATGCTACCACTGCTGCCGAGGTCGAAAAGACAGATTATTTAATTTCTGAGATCTTCGTAAAAGTTTGAATTTCATTTGGCAGCTGTCTTTAACTTACTTTTAAGGTCAATTTTTAGGGGGGATAGTAGCATTTTTGTTTTAATTTTCAGAGGGCACGTGTATTCCTGTGTGTGTGAGAAAGAGAGAGAGAACCTCCTGATGGGGTGTGGTAATGTGGCAACCCTTCCTCATTTCTCTATCCTGTTGGGATCTGGGGCAAGCACATGCATGCACTGGTATGTTTTTAAAGCCACTAGGCCCTGGTCACTGCCTTCTTTAAAAGTCTTAACAGGCTTCCCAACGTCGGGGGGGAAAAAAATCGCCATGTTACATTATCAAGCCTTCAAGGCCTACAGCAGCTAGGCAGTCAGCTCCCGTCTACTTCCCCAGCACTGCCCCTTACGTCTCCTCCTTGGACCGCCCAGCAACTCCTTCCCTTGCCCTTCCTGTGGCTGCTCCCTCCATCTTCCGGATTCCAGCTCAAAAGGCACTTCATCACAGAACGCTCCACTCGTTGCTCTTATCGAAAGCAGTCTTCTCTGCACCATCGACCACACGACACCCTCTTTTCTTCGTAACGTTTATCACAATCTATAAACGTGGTGGGAAGTGGTAGGGGGCACAGAGGGTGTTTATTTTCTTTCTCTACGACTGGAATACAAACTCTGTTGGGAGCAGGGATTTTTCAGTCCTACCTACTACTGTTTCTGAGGGCCAGGAACCACACAAGACAAACGGGCACTAGACCAGCATTTCATTCCAGTAAAACCCCAAATGATGAAATGATCTATAGCGGTGGACCGGAAATGAAATGACCTGAGTTCTGTCCAGACTTGGCTGTCCAGCCTTCAGCTGTGTGGCCTTAAACACATCACGGACTGCAGCGTGTGAAGAGTAAACGGGAGGCAGAGCCAGCAGGTGGCATGATAGTTGAGGCAAAGGACTCTCACTGGTCGACCACTGTAGGAGTCCCAGACTTGGTGACTTGCTTTCTCACTTTCTCTCTCTCTCATGAGCACTCTGACTCTACAACAAATTAAAATAATAATAATAATAATGGCCTTAAACACATCACGGACTGCAGCGTGTGAAGAGTAAACGGGAGGCAGAGCCAGCAGGTGGCATGATAGTTGAGGCAAAGGACTCTCACTGGTCGACCACTGTAGGAGTCCCAGACTTGGTGACTTGCTTTCTCACTTTCTCTCTCTCTCATGAGCACTCTGACTCTACAACAAATTAAAATAATAATAATAATAATAAATAAAAAGACTCTACAACAAGTAAAAATAATAATAATAATAAATAAAATTAAATTATTCTTAAAATAAAAAAAAAAAGTAAATGAATGGTGGGCCCAGCAGGTGGCATGGTAGCTAAGGCACTGTTCTTCCACAAGGGACCACAGTTCGAGCTCTGGATCCAGCAGCTTAAAAATTACAAAGCAGGATCAGCAGGAGGCATAGTGGTTAAGACGCTGGACTCCCACGTAGTCAACTGCACTTCAAGTCCCGGACCCTGCAGATTCAAACTCATGCTAGGTGAGTGTGTGTGCATGCCTCAAATCCTGAGAGAACAGAGAAGAAATTGAAGTGTGGCCATCTCCTCTGGCAGATGATTTTTCACTTTCTGGCTCTCTGGTGAGCACAGGTGCCCTGTAGCAAAAATCTCTCTCAAAAAAAGAAAAAAATCATAAAAGGTGCATGTGAGTGCAGGTTCTCTCTGTCTGTCTGTCTCTGTGGAGAGCGTATGTACCCTATGGCAAATACCTAAAAAAAAGGGTAGGAAAGTGTACACAGAAAGTAACAAGTTTTTTCCCCCCTAAATCCTTTTCTGTCTGAATTCAAGCATATGGATGCTTTTAACCTCTCTGAACCTCTTTCATCTCTATAAGATTACTTTGAAGATCACTTCCAGTTCAGAAACACAAGAATATATGGGCCTAAACCTGAATTTTCCTTATTGCCCTTCATTTATGGCCCCTGCTACCTCCATGAACCAAATGAAAGTAGTAGTCACCCCCAAACCAAATAGCACACAGTTTATGCCTAAACCTTTCCTCATGCTGTTGCCGTGTCCCCAACTCCAACCAAAGGAAATTCTATCACCGTTCAAATCCAAAAAAAAAAAAAAGAAAGAATATATGGGCCTAAACCTGAATTTTCCTTATTGCCCTTCATTTATGGCCCTTGCTACCTCCATGAACCAAATGAAAGTAGTAGTCACTCCCAAACCAAATAGCACACAGTTTATGCCTAAACCTTTCCTCATGCTGTTGCCGTGTCCCCAACTCCAACCAAAGGAAATTCTATCACCCTTCAAAGCCCAGATCAATTGCTAACTGCTTCATAACCGTTTGGTCCAGTTTTGAAGGCTAGCCCCCAATTACCATGATTGTTATTTGACACAGAGTTCCTTTCTGCTTCAAGTTATGGTATCACCTTACCATTGTGTCTTGGTTTAGTAACCTCTGCCAGTTTTCTGATCTGTAAGATGAAGATAAAAGCATCTACCATACCAGATACTATTGTTCAATAAATGAGAATATTTGACTGGGTAATCGTGCTCAATAACTATTTGGGAACTATACATATTTTTCATTTTCCTTGAGGCCCCCAAGAGTGACTCTTTCGTTTCTGAGACTCCAGAAGTTGGAAAACATTCCACCTCCCAAGCCCTTGAGTTTTCATATCCATAAAATGAAAGAAACTGGATAGACCAATTACCAGTGCTTCTAAAAATTAATACCTTACATAAATAACCTAAACAAAAGACACTGCAGATGAGCTTCTGGGAGGAGGGGGATTTGAGGGGAACTAAATAAACTACTACTGAAAACAGAAGCTGGTGGAAACAAAGTTAAAATAACATTCAACAAGACTCTCGGGACCTTTCCTAAGCTATCTTGCTACAGCGAAGGATCCTTGGCACTGATGTTAAGTTGCGCTCTATGACAATTCTGGGGTTCGTGAATTCTCAACATGAAATGTAAAACTGTGCACCCACACGAATATGCAAAATTTTTCTGGGGCCAAGGGATCTACACCAGACTTAAAAGGAATCTAAGCCCCAAAGGATCGACAAAGAGGATTACGATGAAAACTAGTTGGCGTGAAGGGGCAAAATGTTCGTAAGCCACAATGGATGAGAGTTTGGACCACAACCCCAGCGCCCCCCACATAAGCCTAACCCCCACGTGCGGGAAGACGAAGAAGCCAGGGTCAGACAGACAGGTGTGGGCCGTGGGGGACGCGAGGGGAGGTCCGCGGACCCGGTGCAACCTCCGAGCTCCACACCTCGCCCAGGCCCGCCTCGGCGGAGCGTGCTACCCCAGCTAAGGCTCCTCCGCACACCCCACTTCCTGCCCCTACCTGCGGGGTCCAACGCCATCTCGGGGGGGCGGAGAAGGACGCAGCGGGGTGACAGCTCAGGGGCAGAAGGCGGGAAGGGGAGGGGCCTGCGCTCTGCACGTGCAGCGTCGGAGGCTCGAGCTGGGGCAGGAGGAGGAGCGCAGCGCCCGCGGCGCAGCAAACCCAAGCCTCTTGCACGCTGCCTTCCCTACTTCCTACTTCCGCAGCCCACCGCGCCTGCGCCGTCCCGGCCCCGCCCCAGCCCTGGCCCGCACTTAGAAGGGCCCCGACCTGGCGGTGGGAACGACCCGGGAGGGGGCGTGGCTGCGCGCCTGGGGGCGGGGCCGTCCTGGACGCGCGCCGCCGGCCTAGGGAGGCGTGAGCTCTGCCTTGCAGATCCGAGCCTGGGAGAGCAGAAGCCAAGCTGGGTCTTAGGGGCTGCGTCTCTCTGGGCAGCCGGATCTAGGTCCGAGCCTCCCTCCTTTCGTGTCTCCCTTCCGAGAACTAAATGAATCACCTCGTTCCTTTATGTTTTCTTTCTTAACGTTCATTCATTCATGAATGTCTACTTCGTCCCTGCCAGGTTCCAGCTAGTGATAAACGCCACCCGCGAGAGATGCGCACAGCGTGTTCCACAGTAAAGGTGTGTGCGGGTATCGGTTCTCCTCCAAGTCAGAGGTCTCTGGCTTCCTGGGGATTGAGATAAAAACATGGCTATTAGGAGGACCTCTGTTTTGTGAAATGATGTCCTCAGGGCATACAGTTCGACTTGGACTGTCCTTTACAGTTACATGTTTTATGAGGGGAAGAAATAAAACAAAGAAAGTTAAAAGTCATCCTCCTTAAGACCTCCCCCCACAACTGCCCACTTCCCATTAATGGAGACTTTCTGGGTGACACTCAGGCTTCTCTCCACTCACCTAGTAACCCAGAAGTCCTGCCTTGAATCCACATTTAAGTAGTTCGAGCCTCCAAAGGGTTTGTTGCGCCAGGGACAGATGGGACAGATGTTTAGAAAGACAAGGAACAGCTGCTTCTTTCCTGGGGAGGCAGGGGGTTTAGGGTTCTCAGAAGGATCCCCTCCCCACCTAACTGCAGTCCCTCCTCCCCTGCTGCTACTTCCGCCTGGTCATTTGGCAGGAAAAGCTGAGGCAGCCCAGCAGGGCTGGGAAAGTGGGTCTCTGCTCATCAGGTGTTCGGTTTAAGGGCCTAGTTGGGTTTCACCGCCTTTATTGCAGCTGTAGCTTGCATGTGGCCAAGGTGAAGAATTAACGTTTCATTCAGCCGGACAAGACATTGGGCCTTGTTCTTGAATGTTTTACAGATGTGCCTAGAAACAAACCAAATTGATTCTGGTGTCCCTTTTCTCTTTCTGAAGGTGAATGATTAAATTTAGAAAACTACAGCGCATGTTTTTGAGAAGACAAGGTAGGATACTAAAACCCAGATGGGACGCATTCATTCAGGAATTAAACTGTTCTATATGCAAAAGGGTATCATGATGAAGGGGGACAGTTTGAAGAGCTTCAGCCGGAGAGACCTAGGTACTTTCACTTGAGTCCATTAGCTCAAAGTTTTGACCTTATGACTTGAACAAGTTCCAACATTTGATGGGACTTTATTATCTAATATGCAAGGTTGCGCTGATGAATAATTGTGGTATTCTATAACACATCTGAAGGAGATTGATTGAGGGACCACTTTGCAGTTTTTGTCATAATTATCACAAGAAACACTATTATTTAAATCTAGTGGGTTTTTAAAAAAAAGTAACTTAAGGGACCACCTGGTGGTGTAATGATTATGTCACTGGACTCCCACATAGTCGACCATGGTTCAAGTCCCAGACCCGGTGGCTTAAAAAAACTCAAGGCAGGTACGTATGCATGTGTGCCCCAAATCCTGAAAGGATGATGAAGGAGAAGGGACTGTGGCGTGGCTATCCCCCCCTCAGGAGTGATTTCTTGCTTTCTGTCTCTGTCTCTCCAGTGAATGCGTATACCCTTTAGCAAAAATCTCTCTCAAAAAAAAATAAAATAAAAAATAACTTAAATAGGCATTATCTACCTTAGCCTTACCCTAAGCAGTAATATTGGTAAGCTGGTGGGTTTTGTGCACGCCATAAAAGAAATTGCTAGATATACCACACCATATGAAGAACTAGCAAAAATAGCACCTCAATACCTGGTACACAACAGTATATTCCTCTCCACTCTTACATTAAACTATTGGGTTGTTTAAGAAGTCATGACGTATTTTTCTGGTTTTCTATGCAAAAATGCATCATGACTTTTCCAATGACCCAATAGATACTCTTGGCAGAAACAGAGTCTTTACTACCTACGGAAGATAAGTCATTTTTTTAATTGAGTCTTTTTTTCTTAAAGAATTATTTAATTTTATTCATTGTCATTATTTTATTTTTATTTATTTATTTACTGAAGTTGGACAGAGAGAGAAGGAAAGTCAGAAAGCAAGCTGCCAGATTTAGGACTCGAACCATGGTCAGCCATATGGGAGTCCAGCTGCCTTAACCACCACACCACCTACCGGCCCCAATGAGTCACTTAAAAAAAAAAAAAAGAGAGAATTAAATCACAGAAATTTAAAAATGGAAGAAATGTCTTACAGTATCATAATATTACTACCTTGTCCTGGAAATTAAGAGCTATACAGGCAATCTGCATGAACTATCCTACAATCCCCAGGTCTCAATGTTGGGTCACTAATCATAGTCCTATGGTAGGCTTTTTTGAAGGACTATATGCCGGGGTGGTTAGGAAAGACATTGAAAACAAGTTAGGGGACCAGACCTTGGCACAGTAGCAAAATATGATGCTCTCTGCATGTGGGGCCAATGCCTGAGACCACTTCACTGCATTTATGGATTTGGGAAACTGGGAGAGTTAAGAGTGATGCTCTGTTAGAAAAAGCGGATTGACATAGCCTTAAACATTAGGCAGAGGAGTGTTTACATTTCTTACTCTAAGCATTCAGGAGTTATTAAAGATTAACAAAAGGAAAAATAGAAACGTGATCAATTCTATTTTTAAATAACATTTCCCCCATAGTTGTATTTACTTATTTATTTACTTTTTAATGCCAGAGGGTTGGTGCGCTTGCCACAGAGAAAAAAAGAGAGAGAGACAGAGAGAAAGCATCCCCCAATGAAGCATGGTCCCTTCACAATCCGCTTTCCTCCATTTCTCCATCTTGTCAGGATTTGGGGGGCACAAGCACATGTGTTCGCCATGTTTTTCAAGCCCCTGGTACCAGGATTTGAACTGCAGTCAGCCATATGGAATCCAGTCCCTTTACACAGGACTTAACTCATTATAAACTAGTCCCAAACAGACACTCTCTACTCCATCCAGGCCAGCCATGAGCTCATGATCCTCCTGCCTCAGCCTCGTCACTTGCTGGTATCGTGTGCATGCCTCTGGGCCCAGATTTTAGGTTGAAATAGCAATTGAATCCTGGCCTCCCATGTGGTTCCAGCCTGTGGACCAGTGTCCTAGCCATGTGAACCATGATGACTGGAACTGTATGTGTGTATTTTTAATGTCCGGTCTATTGAGTCACTGGAAAAGTCATGAAGTATTTTCGCATAGAAAAACAGAAAAATAGGTCATGATTTTTCCAACCACCCAATCTACACTGCTGTTTGCCACCGTATTCTCTACTGTGGCTCAACCATTGCTCCTTGGGTGTGTGCAGCTTCTTCATAACTAGTCTCTCCAACTCAGTGCTCCCTTTAAACCCCTGACTCCTCCTGTAATAAGAATCAAGGTTAGGTCATTTGAGGCATGAACGGGGCCATGGCCATGATTCCCTCATTCGTCTGTATACATTGGCCAAGGAAAGGAATCCCCTACACCTCTGTTGGACTCCACGTCCTGGTCTTCTTTTGCAATTACTCTCACATCTATCTCTATCCTTCCCTTTTACATTTATACATAGTCTAGTTCAGGCTTTTCAAGAATTGTGACTAATAGGATTGTGGTTTTTCTTCAACTCTTCTATTTTCCCTTTTGGAAAACTGTTGCTTGAACTATTATGCACTATACATATAGCTTAATTTTTTTAAAAGTGATGGTCGAGAGCTCTCCTACCTTCAGAACTGAAATCTAGGTAACAATATGTTTAAATCAGTATTATGTGAAACACACTTCAAAAGAACAAAGGAGATTTCACAGTATGCCCTATCACTTATCAGGTGAGAAAAAAAAGTGTGAAAAAATCACCTCTCACCTCTGCAGAAGGCTTTCTATATTTGATGTTTTGTTTTTACTGTGCATTGTTTTCCTGATGGCCTCCTTTGAGACAAACCTGCTCTAGGGTCAGAGACTCTTCCTAAAATATAAAATAATAATCAAAATCATCATAGTGCTATCACATGACATAGTGGATTTCTCTTCTCCTGGTCTTGTGCACATTGCTATAGTGCTTTATAGAATGCCTCATAGAGATCACAAGCAAAAGGCAGTAGTGTTTTTTGTTGTACAAAGTCTAAAATGTCAGCAGCCTTCCAGTTAGATAGTTAGCTGCACTGGAAACATCTCAGGGACGTTTTGCTCATTTAGTGGAAGTAAAGTCAGTGAAAACTTTAGTGAATTATAACAGTTGCCTTTGTACTGTTAATTTGAAAAAGGACAAATGTTGGGACCGACAGATGGTGTAATGGCTACGTCGCTGGAATCCCATGTAGTCTACTGCGGTTTGAGTCCCAGACCCAGTGGCTTAAACTCACGCCAGGCACATGTGCGTGCATGGCCAAGATCCTGAGAGGAGAATGGAGGAGAAGGGATTGTGGTGTGGCCATACCCCCTGGGGGGTGATTTCTCACTTTCTGTCTCTCTCTGTCTTTGTGGCAAGCGCATGTGCCCTATAGCAAAAACCTCTCCAAAAACAACCAAAAAAAAAAAAAAATTTAAAAGAAAAAGGACAAATGTTCCCAATACAACATCTACTTTTTAATTTTTTTCCATTCATAAAAGAGCATATGTATATGCCCAAAAGACAGAGAAAGAAGACACTCTCCACACTGCTTGTTCACCCCATGGCCCCCATTCCCTAGTCCTCCAGCCTGCCAGGATCCTGGGCACAAGTACATACCCTGTGTGTTTTCAGAGCTTCCAGATCTGGGACTCAAACTTGTCAGCATGTGGCTTCTATCATCTGGTGTGCTACCCACTGCACCACAGAAGCTGTGCCCAGTATCGACTTCTCTGCCAGTTCAGAGAACTTCCTATATGCCGTGCACTGTGCTGAGGAAATAACAGTAAATAAGATGAGGTTCCTGCTGTTAAGGAACTCAGAGTTTAGAAGGAGAGACAAACACATATACAGTTACAATCCAACGTGATAAAAGATGATGTGGAAATACAAAGGAGGGAAAAAATTCATTCAACTGACAGAATATATATATATTAGATTGTCGAGAAAGTCATGCATATTTTTCTATGTTTTCCTATACAAAAATGCATCATGACTTTCCCAACAACACAATACATATTTATATTTGAAGTAGATCTTTAAAAATGATTAGGTATGGGGCCAACTGGTGGGGTAGTGGCTAAGGCACTGGATTCCCACGTGGTCCACTGTGGTTTGAGTCCCTGACCCTGTGGCTTGAAACTCATGCCAGGTGCATGTCTTGCATGCCCAAAATTCCCAGAGGAGAAGGGATTGCGAGTTGGCCATCCCCTCTGGTGGGCGATTTTTCGCTTTCTGCTTCTCTCTGTCTCTCTGGTGAGTGCATGTACCCTATAGCAAAAAATCTTTATGAAGAAAAAAAGATTAGATATTCAACAAGAGAAAGACATGGAGTACTTGTTGACCATGCATTACTGTATAGAATAGGTGTGAGGTAGCTTGTCAAGACCCCTGGATATGGTTGAAAGAGCTAGTTGTCCCTTATTGCTGGGGAGGCAGACAAGATCCAAGGGAAACAAACAAACAAACAAACCAAAAAACATTTAAAATTGCTATCAACTTTCAATGCATTATTACTATGGATGTGTCCAAGCAAAACAATCCCATGTCACTGATTCTGGTATTTTTATCAGTCAGACATAAAGCATTAAGTCCAAGTGAAGAATGCTTTAAAATTCAGGCCTTGATCTTTTGTAAAGAAAAGTGCTTATGAAGAGTGTTGGGATTAATATTCTTTTCATTAGGTTCTATGTCATGGAGCCAGGGATCCCAAGACATGAATGAAAATCTTCCTTTAATAATGAGGTTTTGTTGTTGCTAAGTCACATGACATGGCTCTTTGCAGGGACAGACTGTGACAGCCACGTGGCCCCAACACTTCTTACAGGACTTGATAAGTGGCATCCTAAATGTTTGCTGCATGAGTTCCTGTGAATGGAGAACATAAAGACATCATGCGAAGTTAATGAGTCATATAATCCATTAATTCTTTT